GTTTTGGCTATCATTTGTCCTTGGTAGCATTAGATTGAATTCTGTTCATTTACATTTCAAACAGATGTTGTAATTATTTCAGTTCAGTCTTGTAAAAATTTAAATCTTAGAAACACATGATTTGTACTACCAGTCCTTGGAAAATTCCTTGTATAAAAGCAGTTGTATTATCTTTTCTTTTCTTAATAAATCTTATTAAATTGGATAATTGTTTATTGGCTTACCTAGAGGGTTGGGTTAGGTGTCATCACGACTAGTTGGGTTTTGAGTCATGACGAGTTGGTATCACGACTAGTTACACGGTGATTTGATGGCTTTTGTTCGACTCTTGGCACGTTCGAAGACGAACGTATGTTTAAGTGGGGGAGGATATAATGGCCCGACCGATCATTTTGAGTATTTGTACTTTGCTCGGTAGTTTGACGGCACAAGTATCTCCGCATGATGTATTATGACTTGTGTGAATTGTCGATTTTAGTTTTCAGGTTGTTCGGAATTGATTTGGAAGAATGAACTTCATGATTGAAGCTTTAAGTTGGAAGAGTTGACCAGATTTGCGTTTTAGCATATGACCTCGGATTGGAGTTTTGATGGTTTTGTTAGGTCCGGATGGTGATTTTCAACTCGGGCGTATGCCCGAATTTGCAATTGGATATTTCTAGAATGATTCGGCACTAATTGGCGAAAACTGAAATATGAAAGTTTGGAAAAGTTCATTAAGTTTGATTAGAGGTGCGATTCGTCATTTCGATGTTGTTATGCGTGATTTGAGGCCTCGAGTAGGTCCATATTATTTTATGGGACTTGTTGGTATGTTCGGACGGAGTCCCGAGGCACTCGGGTGAGTTTCAGATAGGTTTGGGTTGTGTTGCGCTCATTTTTTATGTTTCAATGTCGTTTCTTCAAGTACAAATGGTACAAAATTAAGCAAATTAGCTACAATTTCTGTTTGTACTGAAGCATTAGATTCATATCATAATTACGGAGTCATAGCAAAAAGAATCACCGAATTTGGACATCGTATAAGGAGTTTATGGTCATTTTACTGAGAATTAGATTGCCAGATTTTTCAGATTAATTATGAAATTACCTCTGACTTCGTATTTAAAAATCTGCACTATTTCCAAATATTGAAACCAACATATCTCCTTCACTATAAGGTCAAATGGAGTGATTCAAAAGCCTAACTAGACTGACATTTCACAAAACATCCATTGGAGGCATCGAAAGTGAGTTTCAGGATCGTTTGACACATGAAACGAGGCTGAACAACATGACAAAAATATGTAATATCGAAGGTTTGTTCATTTGATCATATTTTGAGTTGGGGAGCTCGGATTTGGGCAATGTTTAGGCGATTTTGGCCATATGAATTGCAGTAAGTGTTCTCTACTCGGTTTTGGTTATATTTTATGAATCTATCTTCATTTTTGATAATTGGATTGTGAATTTTAAAGAGAAAATTGGGGGGTTTTATCCAAAGTTTTATAAAGTGAATTTTTAAGTTTTGTGCATCGATTCGAAGTGGGATTTGGGTGAAACTGGTATGGTTGGACTTATAATTAAATGGGTTATCGAATTTTATGAGTTTTATTGGGTTACGAGGCGCGAGCATTGGTTTGACTTTTTGGTCAATTTTGGGATTTTGATTAAAGATTAAACCTTTATCGATTAGGTTTGTTTCTTTTGGCATTATTTGATGTATTTGAGTTGTTTTTGGCTAGTTTCAAGTCGTTCAAAGGTAGGTACACGCGTGCTCGGGGTAAGTAACACTTCTAAACTTGGTGCTAAGGGTATGCAACCCCGAATTATGTTTTATGTAATTGATGTTGAGGTGACACGCATGGTAGGTGATGGACGTGTGGCGTGCACCATGTGAACTATGATTTAGTCGATTCCAAGGAACTGTGTAGCTATCTTATTTGAACATTTTTACTGTACTCTATGTGTTAGAGCACTTGACTATAATTTATACTAGAAATCATGTTTAGGCTAAATGCTGTTACTATTTGGACCCACAGTGGTCCTTCTTAGCTGTTGAGTTATTTGCTTAATTGTCGTTATGTACTCAGTTGCATTCATCATTACATATTATATCTCAGTATTTGTTATTATATATTGTCACATCTCATATCATTGATTTTGGGCTGCTTAGCATGAGTGTTGTGAGCTCGAGAGACTCAAGAGATTGATGACTGAGTGAGGCCGAGAGCCTGATTATGAGTGATATTTATGTGATCGGGTTGAACATCGCAACATGTTTTATTTATTTATGCCTAGATCTGGATTATTATAGCGCTCGGGCTGAATGAGCCCTTCTGGAGTTTGCAACCCCCACAGTGAGCACAGTTGATTTGTATGAGGGATGGATCTTCCCTAGGCATAGATCTTGCCCGAATCATTTATATTTGGGGATGGATTTTCCCTGGGATGGATTGACCTTATACAATACTGAGTGACTGACTGTTAGGTGATATATATATATATGGGATGGATCTTCCCTGAGCTGGATTGGCCATATGCAGTACTGAGTGATTGAGTATTATGAGAGTGTGAGTACACGGGGCTTCCACTGTGGTGCATCACATACAACATGTACATTGGCATGTAGATATAGAGAGGTTATATTCCTCATATCATTCAGAATTGATCTATCTTACTTATATTAAGTTTAACTGTTGAATTTGAAAAGCATGCCTATTTCCCTTAACTGTGGATGAGCTGAGTTATTGCTTGTACCATCTTTATTATATTAACATAAATTGTTGCTGGTTATTGGAGTTGGACTCTATCCCTTGTCTCAGCTCGTCATTACTTTCAACCTAAGGTTAGATTTATTATTTATTGAGTACATGGGATCGGTTGTACTCGTACAACACTTCTGCTCCTTGCGTGCAGATGTTGGATGCTAATGTTGTTGCTTATGGTGGGAGCTGGATCTGAAGATGTACCTGCATTCCAGTTTTGGCTATCATTTGTCCTTGGTAGCATTACATTGAATTCTGGTCATTTACATTTCAAACAAATGTTGTAATTATTTCAGTTCAGTCTTGTAAAAATCTAAATCTTAGAAACTCATGATTTGTACTACTAGTCCTTGGGAAATTTCTTGTATAAAAGCAGTTGTATTATCTTTTCTTCTCTTAATAAATCTCATTAAATTGGATTACTTCTTTATTGGCTTACCTAGCGGGTTGGGTTAGGTGTCATCACGACTAGGTGGATTTTGGGTTGTGACATTGTAGCACTATATATATAGGGTTTGGTAGAAGTTGATGAATCTTTATTTTTAACTAATTGTTGTACCATGAGTTAGCTATGGGTCATCAGAAACAGCCATAAAAGAAGTTCGTGTGCTTTTTTAGAGTTTTCTTTTGTACCAAATAGAAAAGTTTGTCAGGAACTTGTAGTGTCTGCTAATTTTCAAAAGTTTCAATGTCTTTGATAATCCTTCTGTTGTTTGACATTTGAAATTGTCAAATATCAAAGTACTGTACACGCACAACCTCCCCTTTCTTTTCTTTGTTTTTTCCCTTTGCTTGCAATCCATTATAACAGTGGTGTTCGGGGAAGTTTGTGCACACCTTGACTCCGGGGCCTTCCACTAGCACATACATTAATTTAACTCTGCCATCAAAGCTTGGGCAGTTGAAAAAAGATCACCTAATATTTTCTTACTTTTGCTGAAATTTGAACGCTGGTCTCATGATTTTAGTAATCCATTCTCTTGCTGAAAAGTTTTTGGAAAATGTCTTTCTTTTAGTTGTCTGGTCAATTACAGTAATTACAGTAAACTAATCTCATGCTGCCTTATTTTGTGATCAAAATTTGTGTGCACATGTGGTGTTTTCAACTTTTGAGTTGGCAGACTTAGGGGTCTGCATTCGAATCGATTATTTGTTATCGGTTTATCGATTTATCGATTTCGATTTCAAAATTTTCCTTATCGATTTATCGATTTCGATTTCGATTTTTTCATTTTCGATTATCGGTTTATCGATAAACCGATAAGTTACAGTAAATTTTTTTTAAAATTTTTTTAAAACGTTTTTAATTTTTTTTACCCTTATTCTATAATACCCTTTCCTTTACCCTAAGTCCCTAACCCTATTATTTCCTCTTCCACATTTACGGAATGATCATATTTAAAGCTCAAGGGAATGAAGTTCAAATTAATGGAAAACAGAATTAGCCGTGATGATGTATTTTGATTTTTTGTTTGTTTATACCGTTGGAGTGTTGGTAGCATACATTTGATCCCTTACTTTAGTTTCGTCGCATGTGCTTGTTGACACAATTTTTATGTTATAAACGGTGCTCTTCTTATTTTAGCTTCCTTTTGTCCATATTAGTTAGGTGTGTTTGTAGCGATATACTTTCCGTGGAATTCCGTAAATTTTCTTATTGGTGTAATCGATAACCGAATCGATAAGCCCCAAAAATCGATAAATCGAAATCGAAAAAATCGAAACCTTATTGAAACAATAACGATAAGCATATGTACAAATCGATAATCGATAAGTAATTATCGATAAGGGTCAAAATCGAATCGATAAATCGAATGCACACCCTAGGCAGACTTGCTTTGTGATGCAACCTACTTTCATAAGTTTAGCAAAAGTAAGAGAAAGCTTTGCATTTTGATAATTATCATAGAGTAAAGCATAGGTACATGACAAGGGAAATGTGCGTTGCAAAGATGTGCGATCCATGTGCGAAACATACGCACTCTTAGGGTGTGTTTGGTACGAAGGAAAATATTTTTCGGAAAAAGTTTTTCACCCACCAACCAAATATGAGAAAATAAATGATAAAATCATTCATTTTACAGGAAAATATTTTCCTTCGTACCAAACACACCCTTATTTTTAATTTGTTGTAATGCAAGGATTTTTAATCCAAATGAAATCATCATATTTAGCTAACGCAATTTTTCTTAAGTTCATTTGTAGCATTAGATTTGCATTTTCTTCTAAAGTCGACTAAAGTACTAGGAAATAAAAGTACAAATACAACACTATATTTAAGGTTAAATTTATATTTTGAAAATAAAAATTACGTCATTGGAACGTAAGTCAAAATGACATAAGATTCTTCTTATTTGATCCGGCAACAGAAAACATTAGGATACAGAGACATTGAGTCAACATTTGTATATAATAACAAGAATGACTACTTAACCTCACCTTTGAAAGCTAGAACTGTTTGTATAACTGTGAGTATGAGAAGTGTGATGGCTGCCATAGTTGAAGTTCCAGCCCAAGGACTCTGAAAATAATTGTGCCTCAAACTTGCCATCATTTGACTCCATGGCTTCTCGCAATGTTGACCAATTTGCTGCATTGTTCTTTGTAATAGAAGTCAGTGACTCTCACTCCACTTGAAAGTTCCTTGAAGATGGTGGCCACTTCTTTGTCATCTCCTAGATCTTTAAGGATGATTTTATTTTGGCGAAGGAGATTCACATCTTTATGTGAGCCAATAAGTTGAGTCATTATATGAGCATAATTCGAAAAATAAGGATATACATGAGAAGAGTGTTGCTCATAAGCTATTAAATTTCTCATGAAGCTCTCCATAGTATCCTCGATTGTGAAACAAGGGATTTTCATTAAACCCTTTTCGAAGTTGATATCGAATAAAGTTGTTTTATCCTTCGAATCTTCCGCCACTGTTCCTATTTTTGAGAAGCTAACTCCAGCATTATAAAGCTCCGTTGCACTTGGAATATGATAGCAATCCCAGAAACCAAGGATTTCTTTTGACCTGGTTAATTGTAAAACGTTCCCGCACAAACTTATCTTGCAACATTCGTTTCCCCTGCTGTCACTATTATTGGTTTCGCTAGTTTTTTCATCATGTGATGGGCGACAAAACTTGTGTACTGCATCTAGTAAATGGTCGATTCCCTCTGCATTAAAATTGTCAATTTCTGATGCGGTTTTAAATGTCACCATTGGGAAAATATTAAGTAATGTCTCTCTCACCATATACAATAAGCTTTTTTCTGTATGTTGCTTTGTCATGTCATGTAGCATGGTGAGAACAAAGAAAGGCAGTTGGTTTTCTAGTAACACCATATCTCTACATACTTGAATTATCATCCATTCCAAGTTGATAATTTCGTTGGATTCTTTTCTTGGTGGCTCGACTTCACAACGCTCTCGAATAAACTCCACCACAAAACAACCATCAAGCAACAACATTTGTGAAAATTTGACAACAATATCACTGTAAAGGTTATCATCATAACACTTTAGTGCTTCATCTTTTAGTTTCTCAATTTCACTAATGCAACTTTCCACATCAATCCCGTCTTTCCGTTGGAGAAACCGTTGTAGGTACAACAATTTATACTTTTCCATGGAGTCAAGTTTAGGATTCTTTTTATGGTAAGGACCAATGCAGATCAACATTGGTGTATAAGCATCTGAATTTGATTTTCTTAGCCCCATATTTACTTTGAATATGGTACTGGATTTGATAGATGCATTGTTCAAATCCTTAAATCTTTGAAAGATTTGATTTGCAAATTTCTTAGTTTGTAACGCCAATTGATCTTGACCACTTGTTTCCTTTATCCTGATTAAATGGTCCAGTTTCCTCACCTCCTGTATCTTAATTAGTGGTAAAAAGGTCACAATTTCTCTCTTTTTTCACATACATTGCTACTACTAAATGACGACCATACAAAACAAAAATGCTCTTTTTCGCTTCCGATAAAGAGTGTAATTTTTCAATTTTTTTTTTAAATAACTTAAGTACTCGCTAAATATTAAGCAGTGAATAGAGAAAATAGTTAGTCAATTTATCAAAAGAATCGGAAATGAGTTGTTCTTTAACTACGACTTTTTCATATACCTTTATATTTTGAATTGTTAATTCTTGTAACTTATAGTACTTGTTATGTAGTTTTGAATTATATAAATTTACTTATAAATATTTAAAGATGGTCAAAGGTAAGAAATTTGACTCTCATAACTGGGACAGGGGTACTTTTTTTTTTTTAATCTATTCATAACTGTTTTGGTCACATCAATAATGTTATTCTTAAAGTAGTAGAAAGATTAAAAAGTTACTTTAATTAAATAAATAGTTACTCCTAATTGATAATAAAACACTGAAAGAAAAAGATGCCGGAACAAAAACTTGTCATATCTTTTCTAACTTTTTAAAGTTCTTTATCATTTATCCCGACATAATAAAGAACAAAATAATCACAGTTATTAAAGATATACGCACATGAAATTAATCTTTTATCATCAATTTAAGTAGTATTTGTTTCGTGAGTGACAAATAGATGAATAGAAAGAGATATACCTCATCTTCTGTAGCTTCTGTTAAAGGATTTTGATCAGGCAGTGCAATTTGATCTAGTGGAACATTCTCAGTATTGTTTGCCATCCCTGATTTTGGATAACTTTCTTCAGACTGTAAGTCCAATAATAAAAAGAGAGATAGAGGTGGTTAATAATTTTAATTCATAAATTGAAAGAATTAAAAAGATCAGTAAAGTACACTTTTAATATCAATTGAGAACATATAAGCCATGATATTCACGTCTTATAATTTGTGCTTACATTTTAATTAATATGCTTATATTCTTATCGTGAAAAAGAGAGAGTACTCCTTAAGAAAATGGAAGTATAAGGGAGTAAGTATTCCTTTAGTAGTATGTTACATATAGAGTGATAAATAAATATAAAAACTCCATGATATAACATCCTTATATGTTTATTAATTTTCTGGAAGCTTACAAAAAAACCATACATATCAACGAAGTGTAGACTGTATAAAATGGAGTATTTAAAATCGTAATGGCTTTAATTACTTAAGAATGTAATTAGTTTCTTGTGTTAATCATATAGAACGGGAAATGCAGAGAGTTACCACTTCAATTTGGCTGATTCTCCCAAAATCATAGGGGATTAGGTCAAAACCCCAAAGAATGAAACTTGGCAGAAATGTGAAAACCTAAAGACACTTTAAGTTGATGTCTAGATCCAATCTAATTAACCAAAAAAATCTTAAATTAAATTATTTACATCAGCTGATATGGTGTCCATCTCATTCAAATGATTTGGTAGCCAATTTTGTTGACTTGGTAGCCAACCTTGTTGAATTTGTATAATTTGGTAGCCAATTTTATTGACTTTGTTTGGTTTGGCAACCAACCTTGTTGAAATTGTGAAAATGGTGTGTAAATTATCAAATATTGTAGGCTTTAGAGAGTGAGGTTTTGACTATAAAATGAGAGTTTTAACTCTCATTTCGACACACCAACAAAGAGAGAAAAGAGAGAGCAAGATATTCCATAAACTATAAGAAAATAGTTTGTGAAGAAAAATAGAGTGTGAGAGATATTGTAGTGAGGTGGAAAAAGTAAAAGAGTGTTTATTTCTTTTGTGGGTGTAGTGGTCTTAGGAGTATTTTTTACTCGTTACTACACAGTGTAAAATTCCTCGCTATAGTGATATCAATTGCTCTTCTTGGCCGTGATTTTTTCCCTTATTCAGAAGGGTTTCCACGTAAAATCTTGGTGTCATTATTGCTGCATTTCTATTCTTGTTGATTTAACCATAACTTAGTGTTCTGCGTTTATCACTCATACTGTGAATACTATTTTTACGGGGTTTATTCCCAACAAGTGGTATCAGAGCCAAGGTTCTGTCTGAGTATGCTTTGTGGTTGCAGTACAGTCTGAACTTCCACATCAGAAAAGAATTACTTTGGTCTCCTAATAAATAATATTTGTATTTGTGATAAACGATGGAAGCCAACACTAGTAGAATTGTTACTTTGAATGGCACAAATTATGCCATTTGGAAGGGCAAAGTGGAAGATTTGCTTTATATCAAAAAATTTCATCAACCTGTCTTCGCCATAGTAAAGCCTGATAATAAATCAGATGAAGAGTGGAATCTGTTACACAGGCAGGTTTGCGGCTTTATTAGACAGTGGGTTGACGATAATATTTTGAACCATATTTCTGGGGAGACATATGCTCAGACTCTATAGGAGCACCTTGAAAGTTTGTATGGTCGGAAAACTAGAAACAACAAGATGTTTATGATAAAGCAGATGTTGGGTTTAAAATACCATGATGGTTCCGCGATGACAGATCATCTGAATAATTTTCAGGGGATCATGAACCAGTTATCTGCTATGGGCATTAAATTTGATGAAGAAATTCAAGGCTTGTTTCTACTTGGTTCCCTACAATATTCTTGAGAAATTCTTAGAACTTCATTATCAAATTCTGCTCCGGATGGTGTGATCTCTATGGATCTTGCCAAGAGCAACCTTCTAAACGAAGAGATGAGAAGAAAATATCAGGGTTCCTCCTCATCAGATGTCTTGGTGACTGACTCCAGGTGGAGAATCAAGAATCGGGGTTCTCAAAATAGAGAACATAATAGAAGCAAATCCAGAAGCAGACTTAAAGATATTGAGTGCTATCATTGCGGGAAGAAAGGGCACACAAAGAAGTTCTGCCAGATTTTGAAAAAGGAGAATAGAGACAAGGAAGAAAATAAAGAAGATGGTAATCATGTGGACACCGTCACTACAGAAGATCTTGTTACAGTCCTTGATGCGGATCTGATAAATATTGCTTGTGATGAGTCAAGCTGGGTTGTGGACGGTGGTGCCACATCTCATGTGACATCAAGGAAGGAATTTTTCTCATCCTATACTCAGGGTGACTTTGGAACTTTGAGTATGGGTAATGAGACTGTATCTAGGGTGGCTGATGTTGGAACGATTTGTTTGGAAACTAGTATTGGAACTAAAATAGTTTTAAACAATGTAAAGCATGCACCTGATGTTCGTTTGCACTTGATCTCTATTGGTGTTTTGGATGATGAGGGATATGTCTGTACTAATGGTGCTGGAAAGTGGAAGCTCACTAAGGGCTCCATGATTGTGGCTCGTGGGGAAAAGCGTCGTGGTCTATACTGGACTACGGCCTCTACCTGTGTTGATATGGTGAATGCCGTTGAGAGCCATAACTCTTCAACGTTATGGCATAAGAGGCTTAGCCACATTAGCGAGAAAGGACTAAATGTTCTGGCCAAGAAGAAATTGTTGTCAAATTTTGAAAGTGCAAAATTAGAAAAATGTGAGCACTGCTTGGCTGGGAAACAAAAAAAAGTTTCTTTCCAGTCTCATCCTCCTTCAAGCAAGACAGAGTTGCTTGAGTTGGTGCATTCAGATTTATGTGGTCCAATGAAGACAAGAACTTTGGGTGGTGCACTTTATTTTGCTACCTTTATTGATGATTGTTCAAGGAAACTTTAGGTATACATCTTGAAGACTAAAGACCAAGTGTTGGGTGTCTTTAAGCAGTTTCAGGCTTCAGTTGAAAGAGAAACTGGAAAGAAGTTGAAGTGTATTTGTACTGATAACGGTGGTGAATATTGTGGACCGTTTGACGAATACTGCAAGGAACAGGGTATTAGACACCAGAAGACTCCTCCTAAGACTCCTCAGCTTAATGGTTTAGCAGAAATGATGAACAGGAATTTGATGGAAAGAGTCAGATGTTTGCTTTCTGAAGCAAAGTTGCCGAATTCCTTTTGGGGTGAGGCTTTGTTGACCGCCGCTCATGTTATTAATCTATCCCCTACAGTTGCTTTGCAAAGTGATGTTCCAAACAAAGTTTGGTATGGCAAGGATTTTTCCTATGACCACTTGAAAGTGTTTGGTTGCAAAGCTTTTGTCCATGTGCCTAAAGATGAGAGGTCAAAATTAACTACCAAGACAAGGCAGTGAATCTTCATTGGTTATGGCCTTGATGAGTTTGGTTACAGGCTATATGATCCAATTGAGAAGAAGGTCGTAAGAAGCCGTGATGTTATCTTCGTGGAGGATCAAACTATTGAAGATATTAACAAAGCGGAGAAGTTAAAATCTTCAAGTTCTGAAGGTTTAGCTAATCTTGATCAAGTTCCTCATACAAATGGGGATGACGCTGGTGGGCTCAATGATGATGGTGATGCCCAGAACCATAATCCAAATCAGCATATTGATGGTGGTAGTGATAATAATGCTAATGTTGATGAGGTAGATGTTCCTACTCACAAAGCTGTGGACGAGCTAGATATTCCACTCAGGAGGTCCTCTAGACCTCGTACTCCTTCCTCCCGTTATTCACCCAATT